AACAAATGACTCCTCCCCCCATATTATGATGTTGACCAAGTTTTGGGCTCGATCCGAAATCAATAGGTGTAAGAAAATGGACAATTCAAGTTCAATGGCAGTTCGTTCCTAATTGGGGTGGTTGGTGGATTGGGTAGTTCTAGACATCGGATTTCACGCGAACTTCACCAAATGACTCCTCCCACCATATTATGATGTTGCCCAAGTTTTGGGCTCGACGCAAAATCAATAGCTGTAAGAATTTAGACAATTCAAGTTCAAGGGCAGTTCGTTCCTAATTGGAGTGGTTGGTGTTTTGGGTGGTTCTAGACATCGGATTTCACTCAAACTTAACCAAATGACTCCTCCCACCATATTATGATGTTGCCCAAGTTTTGGGCCCGATCCGAAATCAATAGGTGTAAGAAATTGGACAATTCAGGTTCAAAGGCAGTTCCCTCCTAATTGGAGTGGTTATTGTTTTGGGTAGTTCTGGAGATCGGATTTCACTCAAGGTGAACGAAACGACTCCTCCCACCATATTATGATGTTGCCCAAGTTTTGGGCTCGATCCGAAATCAATAGGTGTAAGAAATTGGACAATTCAGGTTCAAAGGCAGTTCCCTCCTAATTGGAGTGGTTATTGTTTTGGGTAGTTCTGGAGATCGGATTTCACTCTAGGTGAACGAAACGACTCCTCCCACCATATTATGATGTTGCCCAAGTTTTGGGCTCGATCCGAAATCAATAGGTGTAAGAAATTGGACAATTCAGGTTCAAAGGCAGTTCCCTCCTAATTGGAGTGGTTATTGTTTTGGGTAGTTCTGGAGATCGGATTTCACTCAAGGTGAACGAAACGACCCCTCCCACCATATTATGATGTTGCCCAAGCTTTGCGCTCGATCCGAAATGAATTGCTGTTAGCAATTGGACAATTCAAGATCAAAGACAGTTCGTTCCAAATTGGAGTGGTTGGTGTTTTGGGTAGCTCTAGAGATTGGATTTCACTCAAACTTAACCAAATGACTCCTCCCACCATACTATGACGTTGCCCAAGTTTTGGGCTCGATCCGAAATCAATAGGTGTAAGAAATTGGACAATTCAGGTTCAAAGGCAGTTCCCTCCTAATTGGAGTGGTTATTGTTTTGGGTAGTTCTGGAGATCGGATTTCACTCAAGGTGAACGAAACGACCCCTCCCACCATATTATGATGTTGCCCAAGCTTTGCGCTCGATCCGAAATGAATTGCTGTTAGCAATTGGACAATTCAAGATCAAAGACAGTTCGTTCCAAATTGGAGTGGTTGGTGTTTTGGGTAGCTCTAGAGATTGGATTTCACTCAAACTTAACCAAATGACTCCTTCCACCATATTATGATGTTCCCCAAGCTTTGCGCTCGATCCGAAATGAATTGCTGTTAGAAATTGGACAATTCAAGATCAAAGGCAGTTCGTTCCAAATTGGAGTGGTTGGTGTTTTCGGTGGTTCTAGGGATCGGATTTCTCTCAAACTTAACCAAATGACTCCTTCCACCATTTTATGATGTTCCCCAAGTTTTGGGCTCGATCCAAAATCAATAGGTGTAAGAAATTGGACAATTCAAGTTCAGAGGCAGTTCGTTCCTAATTGGGGTGGTTGGTGTATTGGGTAGTTCAAGAGATCGGATTTCACTCAAACTTAACCAAATGACTCCTCCCACCGTAGTATGATGTTGCCAATGTTTTGGGCTCGATCCGAAATCAATAGGTGTCAGAAATTGGACAATTCAAGTTCAAAGGCAGTTCGTTCCTAATTGGGGTGGTTGGTGTATTGGGTAGTTCAAGAGATCGGATTTCACTCAAACTTAACCAAATGACTCCTGCCACCGTACTATGATGTTGCCTAAGTTTTGGGCTCGATCCGAAATCAATAGGTGTAAGAAATTGGACAATTCAAGTTCAAAGGCAATTCGTTCCTAATTTGAGTGGTTGGTGTTTTGGGCAGTTCTAGAGATTGGATTTCACTCAAACTTAACCAAGTGACTCCTCCCACCATATTATGATGTTCCCCAAGCTTTCCGCGTGATCCGAAATCAATAGGGGTAAGAAATTGGACAATTCAAGTTCAAAGGCAGTTCGTTCCTGATTGAAGTGGTTGGTGTTTTGGGTAGTTCTAGGGATCGGATTTCACTCAAACTTAACCAAATGACTCCTCCCACCATACTGTGATGTTGACCAAGTTTTGGGCTCGATCCGAAATCAATAGGTGTATGAAATTGGACAATTCAAGTTCAATGCAAGTTCGTTCCTAATTGGGGCGGTTGGTGGATTGGGTAGTTCTAGACATCGAATTTCACTCGAACTTAACCAAATGAATCCTCCCACCATATTATGATGTTGCCCAAGTTTTGGGCTCGATCCAAAATTAATAGGTGTAAGAAATTGGACAATTCAAATTCAAAGGCAGTTCGTTCCTAATTGGAGTGGTTGGTGTTTTGGGCAGTTCTAGAGATTGGACATAACTCAAACTTAACCAAATGACTCCTCCCACCATATTATGATGTTGCCCAAGTTTTGGGCTCGATCCGAAATCAATAGGGGTAAGAAATTGGACAATTCAAGTTCAAAGGCAGTTCGTTCCAAATTGGAGTGGTTGGTGTTTTCGGTGGTTCTAGGGATCGGATTTCTCTCAAACTTAACCAAATGACTCCTTCCACCATATTATGATGTTCCCCAAGCTTTGCGCTCGATCCGAAATGAATTGCTGCTCGAAATTGGACAATTCAAGTTCAAAGGAAGTTCGTTCCTAATTGGAGTGGTTGGTGTTTTGGGCAGTTCTAGAGATTGGACATAACTCAAACTTAAGAAATTGGACAATTCATGTTCAGTGGCAGTTCGTTCCTAACTGGGGTGGTTGGTGGATTGGGTAGTTCTAGACAACGGATTTCACTCGAACTTAACCAAATGACTCCTCCCACCATACTATGACGTTGCCCAAGTTTTGGGCTCTATCCGAAATCAATAGGGGTAAGAAATTGGACAATACAAGTTCAAAGGCAGTTCGTTCCAAATTGGAGTGGTTGGGGTAATTCATAGTTCTAGCGATTGGATTTTACTCAAAACATACCAAATGACTCCTCCCACCATATTATTATGTTGCCCAAGTTTTGGGCTCGATCCGAGATCAATAGGTGTAAGAAATTGGACAATTCAAGTTCAAAGGCAGTTCGTTCCTAATTGGAATGGTTGGTGTTTTGGGTAGTTCTAGAGATCGGATTTCCCTCAAACTTAACCAAATGACTTCCCCCACCATATTCTGTTGTTGCCCCAGTTTTGGGCTCGATCCGAAATCAATACGTGTTAGAAATTGGACAATTCAAGTTCAAAGGCAGTTCGTTCCAAATCAGAGTGGTTGGGGTATTCCATAGTTCTAGAGATCGGATTTCACTAAAAACTA